TGTGAGACTGTCTTCATTTTCTGATATTGGACCCTTTTGTCCTCATTTCCATGTTTCTCCATTGTCTAATTTGGTAGTTCCCCTAGCTGCATGTTAGGCCGCATGTCAAGAAGCCATTAAAAAATGCTAGACCCATCCCAAAGACTTTGACTTGCTTGATCAGGAGAGGATCTTAGGCATCTGTGTGTATAAAGACTTCTCAGATGATTTGGTGTTTAGCAGGGTTGTAAAGTACTGAGATTTTCTTTCCTCTCCTTAGTAGATTCTTTGTCCTCTAATGATAGGTGGGTCAGGAGCCTTGCCACTGGAACATTCCAGGATATACAAGCAGCCCCGTGCCACTTCCCTGCCTGCATGCCCCAGTGTGAGGAGCTCATCTGAGTTCTCCTTTGTGATGCTGTCTCCTGCCTTTGCTCCAGCCTGAGCTGCTGGTGATAAGCTAATGTTGGGGAAGGAAGGAAGCTGTGTAGCAGAGTGGCAGGGAGGAGAGGAAGTGAAGAGGGCAGAGCACAGGGAAAGTGAAGGGTGATTGGAAAGTAGTAGAAAAGAAGACATTCGGGGACTGTGCTTGTCACACACCCCATCCTTCTGTACCCAGTGATGAAAGAGAGCCTGAACTCAGAACCACACACACACTTACACACTGAAGTGCCAGTCCTGGGGTTCCATCATTTACCAGCTGCTTGGTCTGGAGAAAATTTCTTCATCTTATACAACTAAACAATGGCAGAGCTTTGGAATTCAAAGCAAGACTGTCTGACTTCAGAACCCAAACATTTTTCTAGCTCATATGGCATCTCCCAACTCATATCACAATATACCTTTGGTAATGAACACATAATTAATGACTCCACAATGCTAGCTGAGCTTGTTTTTAAATTTTTATAGTCAAATAAGCTGGGAGAATGTTACAAGAAGATTAGTTAGGAAAAAAATAGCATGTCATTTATTATCAGCCCAGAACATTCAGGATTGTCATTTATAAGAAACAAGCTCATTATTAATAGATGATTACTTTTCTTGTCTTTATGTGACTATTTTCTTAAATTAATAATTTTTTTTCTTTTTTGTAAAAGAAATGAATGCTCATCTAATACTAACTAGAAGATAAAGATAAGTTAATAAATACAAAATTAAACATAGCCATATCCTCTCTACCTAGGTAGAACTGCGGTAAATGCCTCAGTACAGATCCTTCTAGACTTTCTGTGCTTTTATATAGTATTTTTAAATTGCAGCATAGTTTCTTTCACCTTTTACATTCACCAAACATTCCATACATTTGCCTTTACTACGCCATTTTTTCTGTTTACTTATTAAGGTGAATAACTTTTGATTTTAAACCACATGTGTTTACTCAGAAGAGCGAAACCCACAGCTAAGGAAACATCTGAAAGACACAGGTGTGGCCATGCGGAGAGGTTGAGTAATTCAAAACAAAGTACAAACATAAAAACAATGACAACCAGTTTTACAGTAGTGTGTCTGTTTCCTACAGCCCTTCTACCCACAAGTCTACCGCTGACTTCAAAGAAAAGTCAGCCCAGAGGAGGTCCGGAGGATAAGGTGCAAAACGAGAATCAAACCCATGATAAGAGATTAAAGGAAAGTTGATCAAAGACTCAGCATAAAAGTGCTAGCCTGTGACTTGCCTTGGCCCATGGCCCCAAAATAGTCATCAGAACAGAGCTCTCTTTGAAGTGATTGGAAGCACCCCTGCTCAGGGGAGTTCTCTAGTCAAAGGGGATTTACAGGCTGGCACAGGAAGGTGAGCAGCATTGCCTCCTCCCAGCTCTTCTCTGCATGGTGTGTCCTTGGTGCGTCCTGCAGACGCCAGAAGTTTAACTGTGCTGGGGATCAGGTGAGGAAAGCTGACCTGAAAGGGAAGGCTAATCTTTTGTCCCTTCGGGAACTATGGGAAGTGCAGTTGCAATTCCCATGACAGTCACTTTTGGACTCACGAGCACAGAACCGCAATCACCCTTTTTAGTCGAGATGTAATTTCCACATAGGAAGACTTGCTCCCTACCTTCCTGTTCACTGCTTGTTCGCTACTCTCTTGAGTAGAAGTTTGTGGAGCTCTGAGGTGTTAGGACCTAAGCCATCCATTTCCCCAGAGAAGGGAAGAAAATGAAAGTACTCCCTACATGATAGTAGCCTTTACAAACTCACTTCAAATTTTTAACAGAGAAGAGATCTGCTACAAGTGTTAAAGGTGTATTTTTAGGAGGTCTTTAGTTAGCATATCTTTCAGGCTCCATTTCTCTGGATTTTCACTTTGCATGATAATCCCTTGAATTTGGGGTCTTCATTGTCACTTTCCTTGCCATTATGTCTTTATTTCCTTCAAAGCTTAAGGGAATTCTTTTTTTTCTCTCTACCTTTTTTAGATAGGTCTCCTGAACTTTTCCTGCGATGTCAAAACTAGTGTTTTCCATGACCGGTCTTGATTGAGCCCAGTGTTAGGCTCTTTGAGAGAAATGTATCCCTAACCTTAATGGAGCCACAGCCCAGAAGAGGAGAAAATGAATTTGCCACCCCCCACCCCCCAAAAAAGAATATGACACAGTTTTGTGAGGACAATCCTTTTTATGAAGATGGAAGGTTTGAACTGGGCTTTGAGTGCCTAGCATTTCAAAAGGTGAAAAAATACTAAAAGAGATTTTAGCAAGCTTGGGGGCTGAGGCAACGTGGTCAGTTACAGAAGCAGAAAAAAACTACAAGGTGTTCTACAGCAGACACTTTTCATTGGGATCCGTTTAATCAGGACATATGGTTCATGTGAGGAAGGTGAGAGAGAGAGAGAGAGACAGAGAAGTTTCATAGATATATCAGGATTAGAATATGCTATGGAAACTGGATTTTATTATGAATGTAAATAGCCTGTATTCAAAACCTTGGAGCAGAAAACAACATGCTTAAATGTTTTCAGAACATTAATCTGCTTGCAGAATGTACGGTGGACTGGGATGGGGCAAGGCTTGGGGTCACAGCGTGGATGAAAGGACACAGACCCAGCCTGAGAAGGAGGGGGAATGGGAAAGATGGAATGGACTCTGGAGGCAGTGAAATGAGAACTGCCCTGACCTGTGGAAGGAGAGGGTTGTGTGGGAAGAGGGAAAGAAGACCCCAATGTACCACTAGTACCTTGGTGCTAAGTGATGGGCATACAAAGAGATTGTTAATAATATCAATAAAACGGCTAGGTAGACAAAAACTCAAAGTGACTTTATGGAAGCATTAAAGATTGAGGGAGGCACTGAGCTCAGAGGTGTTTTCTGTATAATTTGGAGTCAGAGAAGCTTCAGGGAAGAAAGGGGACATGAGCTGAACCTTGAATGGAGGGTAAAATTTGGAAAGAATGGGAGCGGGACTTAAGATTTGGGGCGAAGAGGTTGGAAGGAAAGGCTTAGGGTTAGGAAAACAGAGGAGTATTGAGTAGACCCATGTGCTGGGAATACAGATGAAAAAAATGCAGAGGGAAGAAAGGATGGCGGGGATGTGTGATTGGTCCTGCAAAGGCTCCAAGGTCCAGTTGAAGAGTTTGTAATTTAACCTGGGAAATGACAAATCACTGACTTTTTTTAAACAAGTTTGTGACCAGAGCAAAGGTCTTTGGGGAAGTTTACTCTGTGAAAGATGAATAGAATATATAAAAGGAGGGGAATAATACTGTCAGATGAGTAGTTGGATGACTTTTAATCAGCAGGAAATAAAGCTGTAAACTAGGTTGACATTGACCATGGAAAGAAGTATAGAAAAGAGCCAATGATCAATACATCGGAGAGGGAGAAAGAAATAGAGTTTTACTGATGATTTCAAGGCTGGGAGGCTGTGTTACCAAATGTACTGTAAAGCCAAGCATAAAAGTTGAGAGAGGAGTGGATTGGGGAGAACCTGCTCTCCCCAATTAAGTATTAAGGAGCTGAAGCTGAGGTGATGGGCAAGCAAACATGTCCAGGAGGTGTTAGAACTGGGGACACAAAGGTCAACTGGAGCAAGATTTACTATACGGCATTGAAAAAACTCAACAAACCTCAGCAGTTGTTTGAAATGTTTAATTAATTGATTGATTCAGAAAGCAAAGTACTTGCAAAAGCTCATTTGAGAGCTTATACTGTTCTGATGCAGATGCATTCTCAATTGCTCTTTTGTTTTTACTGCAAAACATTTCAACTTGTTATGAGAAAGAAAGTGAGAGCACAGTAGCAGGGCTTTCTCTATTCCAGCTGTAGTCTTGGGTAATATCCCATCTTCAGTGGTAGGAGATCATATTTTACAGTTTTTCTATCAATTGCAGCATCTGGAGAGTCAGTTTCTTGCATATTGTAAACCCAGTGTGCTTTGATTTGTATTTTCATCACAGTTCTCAAAGATAAAAGAGTGGACATAAGAAAAACTAACAAGCTTGCAGCCAATTTTATAATGAAACACTCTACATAAATAAATGCTAATCGGATATAAATTTGAATTTCAAAAAGTTTGTAAGCAAGATCCAAGGAGTAATAACTGGCTTTAAATCCTCAGTGAACAGTCCTTCATCCTTTAGAGTCTAGAAGACACTTCCAATGTGGCATCACCTTGAAGAGCAGAGATGACAAATAAAGGTTATCAGAACAAAAAATGACCTTACATTAACAGCAGTCCCAAGATGGCCAAGGCAAAGGAGACCTATCATTTTTTCCTCTGAAATACTAACAAAAAACTCAAAAAACTCATTTGAGGGGAGGGTAAATAGGAGACTTACAGAAGTGAGGAAGGACTGGAGGACAGATGGGAAGACCCAGACTATTCAAGAATAAAATGAACCAACTAGAGTAAAAGAAAAAAAAATTCTACACAGATAATATTCCTCAACCACTGGAATTGAGAATTTTATAAGATAGAAAAAGGAGCATCAGTCCAGTCAATGTATCATAAAATGGCGCCTCTTTTTCCCCCTCCAAACAATTTAAGGAAGGCACACCTCAGTTCATCTAGTCTTTTCTCTGGTCTTTCAGCTGCTCGACTGATCCAGAACATGGATGCCACTGCTGAGCCTTGCACCGACTTTTTCACATATGCATGTGGAGGCTGGCTGAAACGCAACGTCATTCCTGAGACCAATTCCCGTTACAGTAACTTTGACATTTTAAGAGATGAGCTAGAAGTCATTTTAAATGGTTAGTAGCAATTGTGTCTGTGCAGCAAAGATTTCTCCCTTCACATACCCACTTTTTAAGGTACAACTGTTCACCAGTACAAAGAACGTCACAAAAGATTCAAGTTGATGATACCTCCAGGATTTATGGACCACCATTGAGTCACTCTGAGGGTGGTAGAGATGAAATGTTGGCATCCTTAGCATTCCTGCTTTCATTTGTAGGTACACAAGCAATGAAGGCCTTTCATCCATAAAAAATGGTCTGTTGATGCCATTGTATAGAGGACAAACTTAAATGACTACCACTAAAACCATTTCTACCACCACTCAATCCCAGGTCTGTGTTAAAGTTGCTAGAAGATATTATTAAGGTCTGTCCTCCTAGTGGAGAATGTCTGGACTAGTCTCTACTATCTCCATCCTCTGTTTAATTCCTCTTCTAGAAGTTTCTTTGAAGGAAAATTAAAAAGGTTTTTTTTTTGCTATTTTTTAACATCTAAACAATTAGAACAGTTCATTTGGAACATGACTAGAACAGTCACCCAAAGATAATTAGTTATTCTCCAGCCCTCAAGAGGACTATCCATATTAAACTCCAAAGCCTTCTATTGTTATTTTCTTTTTAATATCAATTTCAAGAAAAGTAACTATTGTCTAAGGCAAAGCAGGGCACATCAGTATTTCTTTTTCTCCTCACCTCCCCTCAAAAAAGATAATCTAGTAAAAAAAGACTTGCATCTCACTTGGCCAGTGAAACTCATTGTCAGTTCTGTGCTGGGAATGAAGAACCTGTAGGGAGCTTGGCTTTCCTCACAGGGTTTTGGAATGGGGAGGGAGAAATGAAAGTTTTTTAACTAAGCCTGTGTTGACAGTATTAATTATAGCTGCAAATAGTGATGCATTTTGCTAAATACCTTATTTCAGATGTCCTTCAGACACCCAAAACTGATGATATAGAAGCAGTGCAGAAAGCAAAAACATTGTTCAGGTCTTGTATAAATGAAAGTAAGTGCTCTTTGTTTTGAATTCATTAGGGTGTGCAAATATTGGTGCCAAAGTATGCTTAGACTGCATACTGAATTAACTTTTACTGTTTTCAAAAGCTGCTATTGACAGTAGAGGAGGACAGCCTCTGCTCAAACTCTTACCAGATATATATGGGTGGCCGGTAGCGACAGAAAACTGGGAACAGACATATGGTAAGGCAGTTTTCCTTTCTTTCAAACAAATAATTTCCACATGAAATCTATAATAGTGTAATTAAGCCAAAGCTACTAAAGAGATGTTTCTCCTTTTGTTTCTTTAGGTACTTCTTGGACAGCTGAAGAAAGCTATTGCACAATTGAATTCCAAATATGGGAAGAAGGTCCTCATCAACTTTTTTATTGGCACTGATGATAAGAACTCTACACACTATATAATTCATGTGAGTTTGTGTGTCAGTCAGCCGACGCTGCACGTGGAGGTGCCTTCTATCTCTTTCCACAACGTACTACGAGATACTTCATGAATTTGCTTGTCATCCTTGCATGGTGGCCACACTAATCTTCTCTGTGTCATGCCAATTTTAGTACATGTTGTGGGGTGCTGCCAAAGTGAACACCCCATATTTCTCTGGATTATGTTTCTTCCACATTGGCCTGGGTTTCTCAGAGCTTTGGAGGTTCTCACTTGAACCCATAAATGCTCCAGTTTGCCCCCGCCTATTCATTTTGTCCTTCAGTGCATAGGAAGCAGTCCCACAAAGGTGCAAGGGTGCCATTTTGCTCTTAGGTGAATGCCTAAGGTGGAGCAGATGCACGGGAGCAGCATGGGGTTTCCACTCACATACCCAGCCACTGTCCACCCCTGCTGACATCTCTCAGCACAGCAGTTGTGGGCAGACAAGGAATTTTCTCCATCCCTCTGTGGTAGAGGATCTCAGTAAATTTCTAGAAGATTTACACTAGCTTATAGGTTCCAGAGTGACTGTGCAGGTTATACACACAGGTGCGCGCACACACACACACACACACACACACACACACAGTTTGCCTATACAAACTGGAAGGATGTGATCTACTCCTGTCAGTAAGACCAATGAGTCCCAAGTAAAGGTGGGAGTAAACAAAACCTGTTTCCCTGGGGAAATGCCCCTCGGGGGAGTGCATTAGAACATCAGGAAGCTGGGAAGTCCTTCCTATTATGTGTATAATTTAGAAGTTCCCCAGTTCCAAATCCTGACTTTTTTTTGTGTGTGTGTGATACTTGGGCTTGAACTCAGGGCCTACACCTTGAGCCACTCGACCAGCTTTTTTTTGTGAATGGTTTTTTGAGATATGGTCTTGTGGACTATTCGCCTGGGCTGGCTTCTAACCATGATCCCCTCCTGATCTCTGCCTCCTGAGTAGCTATGATTGTAGGGTTGAGCCACCAGCACCCAGCTCTCCTGACATTTTTTTGTTCATTCATACCCTCTGCTCTGCTTAAAAAAATCTTTCTCAGTATACTTTTGTTGAAGTTTTCTTCAGTTTCCATCAAGTATCCCTGTCATGATCCTCCAGATTATTTAATTGCCAGTGAATCTACCACTTACAGGTAGCAATGGAAACCTTTTCCTAATGACGTATTCACTCAGTTTCTCATTGCTGCCCTGACCGTCAGCAGGATGACTTGCCTCTTACACATATACAGACAGGCATGTTTGTATTTTAATCCAACTATTTTATACGTGCTGAATGATTTATTTTCTTTGATGTATATTTTTTGTAGTTTGACCAACCTCGACTTGGCCTTCCTTCCAGAGACTACTACGAATGCACCGGACTATATGAAGAGGTAAATAAAAGAATGTGAGAAAAAGAAATAACCCAAAACCGTCTGTGCACACCCATAAATAATGAAATAGACTAGAGCCAAATTTAAACAACCTTCTAACATGCTTTACTTGAGAGACTCAAAATCACAAATAAGACTGAACTGCCTTTGATAGAATGAAGCATTCTTAATAGACTAATGAAAGTTAAAAAAAAAAACCTAGGAAATTGAAATTCCTGATTTATATTTTGATGTTAGTATTGAAGTCGTATGACTCATTTTGAAAAGTCAGTTTTAAATGTTTTAATTCCCCTAAATTTGGATAGTTTAAAAAATGATCAGATTTATCATAGTAGACAATGAGGATCAGGGATTGATTGGTCCAGTGACGGGCACCTTAAGGACTATGCAGGCAGAGACACCCACCTCCTTACTCTAGCACTGATCACCTCACACTTAGGCGTTGTATCCCATATAACTGCAGGTTGATCTGGATGTCCTGGACCGCTTTCTTACTGTTTCTCAAACTTAACCTCCCACAGGCTTATGTCAATGTGTTCTTGCTTACTGATAGAAGGAATAACAGAGGACAGAACCAGTCATGTTGCCTTTATTAGATATTGGGGGAAGGTATTGGTTCTGTAAATGTTTCTCTCATAATTGTTTAGCAGCTCAGAAGTATGTTAAGTTTACCTGCCGTGATCCTAATGCTTCACAGTGTATGGTATGATGGAAGTAATTTCCTAGATTAAATTATTAGCTAAATATGTTTATGCCTATTGTTTACTTTTCTTATTTATTAAGTTTAAAGAACACGGAATAAGGTGTCTTTTTGAGTGAATATACAACATTGAAATAAAGAAAAATATATACAGTGTAATATCAAAGGCCACAATTAACAGCACAGATAACGGGTGTGGGATATTTGAATTATTTAGTTACTGTGTGGGTTGCAACTATTGGCTTTAAGAGCTGCCCAGCTGTTTCCTGTTTCAGAGTTGAAAGTGATTGAGGAATTTTGGCTCGTTCTTCTGTATTATCATCATTATCAACTGGGATGATTTTCATATTTAGGATTCTACCCTTATAAAAGTTCCACTTTTTTTCCTGTACTAAAATGCATATTTTTTCACATTTTTTCATTTCTGACATCAAAATACTTCTGCAGTCAATGTGGTAAAGTTTCTTTTTTCATTTTTCAAAAAGATGTTAAGGTCATGGTGTACTTACACATTTTATACTCAGCATTACCTGGCTTGAATCTGATGTAGAGGTATTTCCATTTAACCTGCAGGGTTTGTTTGTTTTAAATTTTGAATTAGTTGTCAATATTTTACAGAATTGGGGGATCTCATTTGTCATACAAATTTCTTTATGAATCAGTACAATTGGAAGCCCTAAGTTTGCATTTTGGTGTATCACTGCTTTTGGCCAGAGTGATGTAGCATTTGTTCTCCAGGGTTGAATCATTTAGATGATTCACTGATACATGTTGACCTCCTGGCCCCTCTAGGCACTTACATTTGTGTGATAGTTGGGTCTTGGCTAAGCTGCAGTAGTAAAAGCACTCAGCATTATATTAGCTCAAGCAAGAAGGCATATTTCTATCTTCCATTCCAGTCTGTCCCAAAGTAGGCAGTTAGGCAAGCCATCTGTGTGAAATAGGACGCTCTGCGCTATGGGGATGTCTGGGACCTCAGTTTCCTTTGATTTTGTCACTCATGCCAACTTCCTCTGGTTTTGTACATTAGTCTGTTGAATCAGAGTTGGTGCACCAGTTCTTAGTTCACATTTCAGGCCATGGAAAAGAAAAGAGGGAAAGTGGTGTACATTTGCATGTTGAATAAGTGAGACAGAAGTTGCATATGGTGCATTGTTTGTACAACTGTCCTGTTGCTGCACTCACTTATAACGTAGAAGAAATGTAGTCTTGAACCCAGTGGCCATGTATGTGCTTTCTTTGAACTTGGTTCAATATACTCCTATTTTTAACACTATTATAAATGGGATTGTTTTCTTAATTTCCTTTCCAGATTGTTCAGCTTTATACATATAGAAATGCTACTGATTTTTTGTGTGCTGATTTTGTAACTGTTATTGGTTCTAATAGTGTTTTTGTGGAGTCTTTAGGGTTTTCTACATAAATGATCATTGGCAAATAGACAATTTAATTACTTCCTTTTCTATGTCTTTTATTCCTTTTTCTTACTCAATTGGTCTCACTAGGACTTCCAGTATTATGTTATATCAAAGTGCAAAAATGGGCATCCTGATTGTGTTCCTGATCTCAGAGGAAAAACTTTCAACTTTTCATCACTAAGTATGCTTATCTGTGGACTTGTCATGTATGACCTTTATCATGTTGAAGTACATTCCATATGTACCTGTTTTTTGATAGGATTTTCCTTTTTTTATCATGAATGTATATTGAATTTTATCATATGCTTTTTCTGCATCTATTGAGATGATCATCTCAATAGATGATCAACATCTGTTGATTTCTGCATATTGAACCATTCTTGCATCCCTGGGATCAATCTGTCTTGATTATGGTGAATGGTCTTTTTAATGTGCTGTTGAATTTGTTTTGCAAGTATTTGTTTGAGAATTTTTCTATCTGTGTTTGCCAGGTTTATTTACCTATAGTTTTCTTTTGTTGTCGTGTCTTTGTCTGACTTTGGTATTAGGGTTGGACTCATAAAATAAGTTTAGAAATATTCCTTCCTCTTCAATTTTTTGGAAGATCTTAAGAAAGGCTGATACTGATTCTTTTAAATGTTTGGAATTCAGCAGTTAAACCATCAAAACCAAGATATTTCAACTTTTTCATCCTTAAAATTTAATATAGATCATCTAAAAATACTGATGTGAACATTTGATTTTAGGTCAGATAAATGCATGATATTTGGCCATTTCCCTCTAGAACTGAAGGGAAGTTGCAGAATCCAGAAGACAACTACAAGAGAAAAAGAGACTCATTCACTCATGGCTCCTTTGGTCCTTTTCTGAAAAGGATGCTAAGATGCTTGGCTAGGGCTAAAGCATAATCCAAAAGTAGTAGGCCATCAAAAGGAGCCAAAAGAGTAATCTTCACTCATGTATGCATGTCTGTTGTGGTCTTTTGCCCTCTTGTCTATTGTGAGTTCAGTATATCACTTAGCATTCTAATAAATATACCGTTAGTCCTCAATTAACTTAATCTCCAACATTTTAGAACATGTTTTTGTTGGTATTTAGTGACCTCAATAACCTAGACAACCCCTAAATGAGTACCTTGACTATAATAATAGGTATATCCAACCACAAAAAGCATTTGTATTGTTTTCTGAAGTCTCTGTTTAGAAATAACCATCACTTAATGACACAATGCTCCTGGAAAGATAGAAGTAGTGAGACTCAAAACAAAAGTATACATTTGTGTGCTGGGAAAAGAATACGAAAGATGTTCATTGCCCATAAAAGACAATCATTCCCATTCTTGAAATTTTAGAAAAGAGCCAACCAACCATAAGAAAGTTTTGTATATTGAGAGGAATAATCTTAATTTTCTTAAGAAATTGCCCATCTTTAGAAAGAGCCTCTGAAGTCTGTATTGAAAATGAAATAGGATTGGTCTCAAAGCTTCCTTTCTCACTTATCAAAGCTAATTGTTACCTTGTGCCCTTTGTAAGGAAATCTGTAGGTTAGGAATCCAAAATATTTGAGTGTAATTAGATCATAGAAGATATGTTTATGCTGTATACTGATGTTTGAAAGGGCAAATAGGCTAGGGTACTGGTTTCTTTACCTAAGGACTATTTTGTGTGTGCCAGTGAAAGGGCAATGGGCAGTCACCCTTCTCATACACATACACTTTTAGAAACATCATCACAACATATTTCACTTGTTTGTTTATACATCACACACAAAATATCATTTGAACAGCATTTCAAGACTGAAACAAAAGTGAAAAAAGCACTGGTATAGTGATTGACAATCGACAGAGGTGAGTTTGGGATCAGAGATTAGAAGCTGTGGAATATAATGCTTAGGACATGGCAGAGGTTATAGACCTCTTCCAAAATCTGTGGGTTCATACAAAATGGAAATGTTTTAGGGTTGAGGAGAGAGAACTTGAAACATGGCCACCATGGACCAAAGCCAGAAATAGATGACCCACTGTCTGTGTATGTAAATCAGAGAAAAACAGATGAAGAAAATTGCCTAAATTCTACCCACCTATGAAAGAACATAGCTAAGATATACAGTCCTCAAGATGAGCAAAGACAAACTGGAACAGAGCTACAACCTAGTGAGGATTTTGTTTGTCTGCTCTCCCAAAATATAAGCTGAGAGAAATTGTCCAGAGCTTGAGCTGAGACTAGAAGATCTGAGTAGGAATTGAACAAAACCTACTTAATATGCTTAAATTTTAATTTCACTATTTCTGTTCAACAGATATTTGTTGAGGTTCTACTATGTAACAGGCTTCTTCTAGGCAGCAAGTTTTCCAAGGAAATAAGATCCCTGCTCTCATGTGATTCATGTTTTAATGGGAGGAGATAGTCAGTGAAGAAACAATATTTGACGGAAATAACAGAAATTGAGATAGTGTTGTGAAGAAATAAAATGGCAATGGCAATATGATAGCAAATGACTGTGGGTAGGGTGGATGGTAATTTAGATTAGATTGAATTTGGGTTTTGAAAAGATCGCTCTGGTTGCTGTTTGTAGAATGCATTGTAATGGAATCAGGGGTCAGAGGGAGGCCATGTGGTAATTTAAGGGAAAGAATACGGTAGACTCAGGTGAAGGCAAGTAAAATAAAGAAATGTGAACAGACCTAATTTAACTTTGGCTGGTGGCTCTTTCTTCATAGGGAAAATGTTACTTTAATGCTTAGCCATTATGTGCTAGCATGATTCATGTCTGGGCTACCCTCACAGTGTAACAGCTTTGACATATGATTATACATACCCTGACAGGGAAACTGCTAGCTTATTTCCTCCTTTCTGGGTACCAGGTAGTCTAATACTCAGGCAGTGTTACCTAATCCAGGCATCTGTATTTAGCAAAACATAAGTGGACATTTTTAATTGAAAGCTCATAAATATGACAAGAGAGTTTTTGGAGATTAAATGCAGTTTATGAAAAGATCTATAAGCAGCTTCCCAAATATATATGATAAACCTTAAAAGTTCTTGTATAAATCTCTAGATTTTTTTCTGACAGATTGATGAAAACCCAAAACATGGGAGGTGATTCAAAGTGGATCCTCTCTGATCCTGTGTTCTTCCTGCTTGGATTTGGGCTGGTTTTCATTTCCAGTCTCCAGGATGGCTGTGTGATTTTATGTTTACACTTCCTCTGTAGGGAATAAGTCCCTGTGCTGGCAGGTTACATGCTGCTCAAACTAGGAAATTTTCCAAGTGTTTTTGATAGGAACCATTTCTTTTCTGCTTGATGTCCCTCTGTATTCCCCAGAAAACTTCTGTGTCACACTTAAACATCTCCCCAGCATCAATAGCTAGAACAGCACAGTTCTGTGACTTTTCAGTTATTTCCTGTTCTACATTATGTGGGTTTTCTTTCTAGGAAGGGGAAGACAGAAAGGGCTGGAGGTGGCTCAAGAAGTAGAGTGCCTGTTTTGTAAGCGAGAAGCCCTGAGCTCAAGCCTCAGTCCCATTAGGAAAAAAAAGAACCCTTAAACAGAATCTCTGGATGCATCCTTAGCATCCTTGGCCTACTAAGGTATCCAGATATCAGCCGATCTGACTGCAGAACTTTCTCCTCCTGTCTTGGTCTTGCTGCTATTTATTAGCAATGACACTAAAGTTTGAAGGACAGCAGTAAAATGGCATTGGTCTCTTCTTATTTGGCAGCTCTAAACAAATATCATCTTTTTTCCAAGCAGGAGGATCCCCCATTACTAAATTTCCAGTATATGAGCATCATTGCCTGGACTGGCAGAACGAAGATAGTTCTAATTAGAGTAACAATCCATGATGTTGTTATTACCATGTGTCATCTCATTGAAAATGTATAGTTTAAAACCCCACAAATTTGCTATTATGAAATTTATCCTACCATTTAAAACCAATTATCCCTTTGAAGCTGCTTTTATAAATGTTAGGATTCACAATTTTTTTTTTAAGTGAATTGCTACATAGATATTTTGGTGGATTCTTCTTTCTGAAAGGATCACTGATTTATTCTCTTCGAAGAAATTGACTTAATGACTCTGGTCCCTGCCCTCGTAACTAAATGCTGTGTCAGTCACAAGAAAAGAAAAATTAAATCTCAGTTTAAAAAATACCCTGATCAATGTATTCTTTAAATGTTAAAATATGTGTTGATTGCTTTCTCTCAAATTCTGACACCTACAATCATTTGGCATTTTACATATCCAGGCATATCTTTAAAAGAAAATTGAAGCCATGCGGTTGCTTGTCAAGGGATTAACTGCAGCAGTGAGTGTGGGTTCTGACAATTGCTAGGTAAATTTGTAAGCCAAGGAAGGTAATCAAGATACTCCACGCATGTTTTACTCAGTCACGTGGGAGTAGTGACCAGTCTGGAACTTACTGAAAGAAGTGGTGAACTCCATGCAGCTCCAGACGCTAGTGATATCGCTGGCTTCCAACTTGCTGAGGAATGACCAATTCAGCTGGAGGCCTTGTCCAAAGGTCTCATGTGGCCTAATACCAAAGTTCCATAGTCTTCAGATTTAGCTGAAGGTGTTGAAGCTGAACTAGTTTGCATAGTCAACAAACGTACATAGGCTGTTTTCTTACCTTATTAACAAAAAAAGGGCATGTCCTATGTTAAATAAAAATCTCAGTTGATTGAAATTGGAAAATTCAGACTACCATATCCTTCATAGCCAGTAGTAATTCCCTGCTGAAGGCAGATGGATTTATGTGCTTTGAAATACAGTTAATTCAAAACACTGCATACTTATACTTTGGAATAGGTGATCCCATGAGGTATGAATTCAGACATACTTGTTTACTTCAAAGTGAAACATGAATTCTGATTACCTTTTAATGGGGAAAGAATGGAGCCAGCAGAAATATATTTGAAATTATCTTTGATTCCTATTACCTTAGTTATTACTTTTTTAATGCATGTTCACAGCTGAAAAATCATGTTTTCTATTCAGTAGCAAATTCATGAGTAGGGAAGCTAGCTAAGTAGTCTGAGCATTACAGAGTGAAAAGAAAGAACTCCCCTCTCCAGGGAGCTGTTTACCTAGCATGCAAAGAAGGTCTGGAGTAGCAATATGAAACCCTTCCAAATTGAGTTCTGGTTTGATGACATGGTTTTTTATTTCACTATTAGTGTTGTATTCGATAATGACCCACTGTAAAAACAGACATTTCTTTGTAGTCACGGTGAATACAAGGGTGTCCCTTTCACCTCTAATTGATTAGTAGGAATATAAAACACTCTTGAAACTGAAAGTGTTCAGCACTTTGTAGTGCACATTGTAGCTTTCATTCATATTTACCCTGGTACCAAGTCTTGGAAGCATAGAGCCTCCACCTGTCCCTAAATTGTGTGACCTGTTTTTTCTGATGACAGTTGCCGACTTAACCAGTAGTAAAGTTGGTGCCAGGAAGTTGAATTTGGGGTAAATTTTAAATGAGATGAGGTCATACTCTAATTGCTGGTGGATGATAATGATTATTGATACTAATAAGTACCAATGGGTTGAGACTTCACAGAAGTGGGATTTGATTTCCTGGTGTTGATGCTACCGAACTTGAGTAAGGTAGTTTACAGCTTACTTTTCCAAATTAAAATGTATATGAAGATAAGATTTAAAGAAACCGAGTTCTTGGAAGAAAACTGGTGTCTAAGTCTATGGTATCTTACAGTAAAATTTCATAGCATTGGGAACAGTGTGGAAGGAACTAAAACCTACAGTTGTGTGTTGGAGGAGCTCCTGAGAATACAGTCTCAGAAGAAAAAAAAAATACTGCTTGACCTGGTGACACAGAGATGAAGATGCCCTGATTATATTTTATGAGTTTGTGGCTATCTCTTCATAAATAATTCAAAAACACTTATGATGTACATGAGTAAACAAAACCTGAGAAAAAACAGATTTGGTAAAGGAATTTATTGCTATTTAAGGAAAAAATAATATATGTAATTGCTTACCAACGTTTTGTAGCTGCATTCTTATGGGGCAAAATGACTCGACTGAAAATGGAAAATCATGTAATATCCATAGCCAAATGGTTATAAATTACTTAGGACCTTCAAGCTGATACTTTATTGTTGTGCCTTAAGCTCTAATTAAAGGTACATCTACCTTGTAAGAATCTGTGCAGGTCAGTCCTTTTAGTACTTAGGAAAGGATTCTATTTTACTGTGCTTTATGAAAAATTAATATTGAAGAAACATCTTAACTTAAAGTTCCATGCTGAATATTAAGAAGGTTCTCCAACAATTTACTACTTATTTCTTGCAGGCTTGTACAGCGTATGTGGCTTTTATGATTTCTGTGGCCAAATTGATTCGTCAGGAAGAAGGATTGCCTATTGATGAAAACCAGATTTCTTTGGAAATGAATAAAATTATGGAATTGGAAAAAGAACTTGCCAATGTAAAACACATTTTTTTTCTGGTATACAAAATAATGCTAACCTGTTGGTTTTTTCTTTCCTCTCTCAAGCCTACTTTAAGGGTAAAAATATAACTAGCCAAGTGATAAAAATGCCTAGCTTAGTTTAGTAATGAATCATTGACTTTAAGAGAACCTGTGAAACTGTATAGTGTTATAGTAAACTGGGTTCCTGACATCTAAGAGATACATTAAATTTGACAAATATTAAACTAGATGTACTTAATTGCGTAGTATAAATGGGTTACATCAAAGTCCTACCATTTGCAGTCGAGCCTTTAGATGCCTCTGAGACTGAATCTGTCATAAATCTGATATCTAAGTCTCTGCTATCTGAAAGTGAAATTCACAGTGTTAAGAGCATTATTGAGTAAAGTAAAACTCATAGGTGTGTTTTACACATGCAAAGCTATTTTGGATTTTCTAAACATTTTTATTTTAAAACTTAAAGTGATCACAGCAGTCATGGTCAGAGTGGTGTCACTGAGTTCAGACTCCAGGACTGCTGAGCTCAGGGGGAAGAGGAAAAGCCTAGCAACAAAGCCAAGCGCATGTTTCTGCATTTCTTCTGGCTCCAGATGAACCCTTGGAGTCTCAGTTGGTACTTTCTTTCGACTGTCCTCTAATGGGGCCCTGCAGTCACAAGCAAGTGAACTCCTGAGTCTGAGCGTCATCTGAATTTTTGATTGACCCCATACTTAGATTTGGTCTAGGACTCACAGATCTCTCTTTGACATTGTAAGCAACAATCTGCATCTCTAGATTTCTGTCTCACCCCTGCCATCTGGCTTCACAGAATCTTGAAGAGTGAAGATCTTTGCAGGAAATTTTAACTTTCTTGGGCTACATGAGCTCAAAAGTCCCTAGTTAGAACCAGTTCTGTGGTTCTAACCATGGTCCCCAGTTCTATGTTGGGAGCCGACTTATGGGAGAATAGTCTCCTATCCTGGGATTTTACCACTCCTACTTTCCCAGAAGATATTCCCCTTGGCCAGCCTTGGCTCTGTAGTAGTTGTTCCATATGACCTTAGAATTGTTCACGACTCACTTATGCCCCTGTCTAGTCTCTAAGATCGGCATGGAGTCAGCATCTGAATCATCTGTGTTTCTCTACCCATGTCTAGCGTCGTGTCAAGTGCAGGAGGGGTTCAGAGTGATTGTTTTCATGAATGAATAGATAAGTTGCTTAACGGGGACATTGGAGCCATTATCACTGAGTAATAATTCCCATTTTAAACTTCACCTTTTGCCTTTTCTCCCTTAAATTTCCTTTTACTCATTTTAAGTAGGAATCAGGGAGTTTCAACCACTGATTGGGGAGGTGCTATCATAATTTTCTTTTTTCGATTTAGTGAACAAAATAAAATTGGATGCTATTGAATGTAGAGTATGAAACTAGGTATACAGAATGTAGGATAGTCACAAAAGTAGAAAATGCTGCTATTCTCAGATAACTTACAACCTGCCTGCTATGTACTAGAAGTTTTCTGTGTTACTTGCTGTGAACTATCGTAGAAACTATTGCATTTTTTTTTCTTGAGTTAATCTTAACTAAGATGGGTTAGGGATTGGAGTCTAGTATTTGAGAGATAAATGGGAGATGACTATACCCCAAAAAAGTTAGAATATGAAACAGCTACAGAAAACCGGGCTGGCCATTGGCCATAGCCCACAAATTTTCTGTGGCAAAATGTAAAAAAAAATTTTGAAGAGTTTTAAAATTGACACTACAGAGAACTCTTGATAATTATTTCTGAATATACATAAAACCTTAAGTTTCACCTTTCTTTTTGCTATGACAAAGTAAATTACAAAACAAGTATGGAATATGTTTTACCTATCTTGCACTTTATTTTCCTTTATGTAAAGAATTCTTAGTTCTAAAATAATAATGAAAAACTACCTCCATAGGCTACTACTAAATCTGAAGATCGAAATGACCCAGTGATTCTTTATAAGAAAATGACCTTGGCCCAGCTGCAAAATAACTTTTCCCTGGAGATCAATGGAAAGGTAAGAAACAAGTTTTATGGACCCTCTTACTGTGCCATTTCCTAGAATTATAATGTTCAAATAGTGATTTTTAGATTCATTGATTTATTTATTGAAATGAACTTCAAAATGAATTTAGATAACACCATCCATTTGACTTCATGGTGAGGTCATTATATGTACATTTAGTGAGAATAAATTTCAAAAGGTAAAATTCGTTTCAAGGAAGCTATGCAATGATATTGGAAACTGTAGCAGAAAAGGATTTGGAAAAAGTGCAAATCATTCTGAGGACCATTATAGTCATTGGATTTAGGCTGAAACATGACAAAACACTGACTTTGTTTCTAACTCCTAAAACGAGATAGTTTATTCATAGAGCTTTGCATAGTCTCATCTCCAGTTGATGCACACAGTTGAGAGCTGAAGCAATGTCCATAGAAAGGTGTGCAAACTACCACAGTCATTGGGACACTAATCCTAGCTGTTAGGGGCTTTTAAAAATGTATAACTTACTGAGTTCAACATTTCTTCCATAAACTTTTTTTTGTTGTTCTTTGGTAATACTGGGGTTTGAACTCTGGGCTTTGAACCATGTCTCTAGCCCTTTTTGCTTTTAGTTATTTTTCAGATAGGGTCTTGAGTTTTTGCCAAGGCTAGCCTGGCCCATGTTCCTCCTATTTATGCCTCTGTGTAGTGGGGGAAAACAACCCCATGACACCACACCCATCTTTTTATTGGTTGAGATGGGATCTCCCTAACTTTGCCTGGGCTGGCCTCAAACCGATCTTAATCATCACCCTCTACGTGGCTTGGAATTACAGATATGACCCTAATAAACTTTTTAATGTGATATGTGTATATGTTTTGAAAGACTAGTACAAGCCACCAAAGGAAATCAAGTATGTAGAATGGTAACTTCTACCTATGTGTGTGTGTGTGTGTGTGTGTGTGTGTGAATACACATGTGTGTGTGAAATGATAGACAAGATTTCCATCTTTTATCAACCCTAAATTTGGCATGCCTACAGACTTAATACTAACAGTTTGGAATGTGTTCTTTTGTCTGACTTCATCAAATCATCATATTGATACCTCTGTTGTATCAATATGTTTTCATTTCAGGAAGACCCCCACTGAGCTGTGTCACTGGGTTTGGATGAATTGTTTATTAATTCCACTATTAAGAAACAAACACTTTGTAACATTTGCATTTTGTATGAACCTAAAATGCTTCATTTTTGTAAGCTGTGTTTCTTTTTCCTTTTTTAATATTGATCAGACCAAGAAGATGGCAGTGAGCCTGGTTCTTATTTGTATGTTCTCTATGCTTAGAGGTTTTGTTTTTGCTTTTAAATGGTTGGTTTAATCCTACTATCTAAATAATCATGTAGCAGAAATAAATTTTATTCAAAAGCTGATTGAAACAACCAAGGGAAAAAAAAATCCAAACAAATAGCAAACTGGCCATTGTGATAATTATTCAGTGATGCAGCTGACACCCTTCAATGTCTGACCTTCTGACCATAATTGAATCTTGGAACCAAGAAGAGGAATCTATAATTGCTGAATGTTTTATGCATGCTTTTTTTTCCAGCCATTCAGCTGGTCAAATTTCACAAATGAAATCATGTCAACTGTGAATATCAATATTCCAAATGAGGAGGAAGTGGTTATTTATGCTCCAGAATATGTAACCAAACTTAAGCCCATTCTTACCAAATATTCTGCCAGGTAGGTGTCTGTCAGTGCTCGTGACCTCAAAGTTTACATTTCATATCACTCTTTAGAAGCTTTGCAGCCTCATCTTTTCTGTTGCTGGGTGGTGGGTTTTTTTATACAGAGATCTTCAAAATTTAATGTCCTGGAGGTTGATAATGGATCTTGTAAGCAGCCTCAGCCGAACCTACAAGGAGTCCAGAAATGCTTTCCGCAAGGTGAAGAAAAAATCTCTCTTTTCTTAAGACTTAGAGCATAAAGAGATACATGGCTATGAAGGTTTACCATGCACACTGCTAGAATGTGGTGAACGTGGCCAAAGAAAAAAATGCCCCGTGTTGGTTATTTTGCACATACTTAGGATATGTGGCACAGGAAGGAGGCCAATCTGCATGGGCTTTGCCTTCCTGTGATGATCTCCTGTGACATCATGATCATGACACAGCCCTGTAAGGAGTGACCTTCGGTTGTGTGAGAGGTCATAAAAGAACACTTCTTTGATTTATTGTTGTTAATGTGTTAAAAGCCATTGCAGGGGTGTCTTTCCCAAATGACTTGATTTTCAGGTGCTCTTAGCACACTGGACATATACATAGATGGACTACATTGACGTGGACAAACCATACACCTACCTGGAGAGATAACCTTTCCTTAGGCTGTACCTACACGACTTAAGCCACAATCATTTTAGTCCTGTTATAAGGGGAGCAAGCAGCAGGGATTGAAGAAGGAGAAATTCTAGCAAATTCTACCAAATTACTGTCCCAGAAAGAAAAGAACTCTTATGGAAAGTTCCTGTCTTTACCCTTAAAAAGAAAACAGACACATTTTTAAAATTAAGGAATATGAAATGGTATTGTGCTCAATTTCCCTTACTTAGATCAATACCCTTATTGGCACTGAAAGTTATGCATGTCAGGTTTTTCCAAAATACCAAAAATTCAGCTAAAAAGAGGGAATATGTTTTCTTATGTATGTGATTCCCCATTGCATTTATTGAACATTACTTCCCATTTATGTTTATGTAGTGGGTATAATGTTGTATTTTCTTTCCTAAAGCTTTCTAGATGGATATTAACTTATAATAGTCAAAAGTTCTACTGGGACACATTGCCGAAATATACCTTGTTTCAGACTATTTTTAAGTAAACAATGCAATCCTACAATTGCGTTTTATTGTAGGTTAGGGACACCTGCTTTGTGAAGAGAAGCAATGAGTATTGCAAGACGTTAAGTGACACGTAAAGACTACAGTCACGTGAGATGTTTGCTCTTACTGTGCGCCCGCCCTCTATTCCTAGTCAAAGGCCTCTTTATTTTTCTTTTATAGGCTATTACTGGCACAACAGTAGAAATGGCAATTTGGAGACGTTGTGCAAACTACGTGAATGGGAATATGGAAAATGCCGTGGGAAGGCTTTATGTGAAAGAAGCATTTGCTGGGGACAGCAAACACTTGGTAATGCTTTCAGCACAACACACCACCTCGCCTCGGCACCACACTGTCAGTTTGTTTGCATTGCTGAACAATCACAGTGGATCATAATTCAGCTAAAATTTTATCAATTAAGCAGAAAACCTCTGAATGATAATATGCCATTGTTTCCCAATATGTCTCACCCTTCGTCTTGCAAGAGTCTAGTTATATTTCTGCCCTTAATATTGTTTAATTCAAAATCACTATCTATTTTTCAGAAACAGTGTATTTAGAACAACCCAGTCATGTGTTCCATTGATCCAGTCATTTGCAAACTCTTCTATTACCAAAATTGACCAAGAATTAGTATTTCTTGACCTAGAAAGTTATCTAGGGTCTATTTGAAGTACAAGGAATGTACTCTGCTTTTCATTGTTACTGAAATGATGACAATGGAACTTAACAACATGGGAGAAAGAATTTATTGAAGTGTTACTTCATGCCTAACTAAACCTCAAACAGCAATGACAGCCAACATTTATTCAGCTTTTATAAGGATAGTGAGAACTAACACATTCTGATGACGATTTTGTAAACTAACGTATGCATTAAGACCTATTTAATCAGGAATGTTGATATGATAGTAGCAATAGCATTTTAGAATATGAAGATTCTATACATCTATTTGTTTTGGTCACAGTTTATCTGAATTTACATTTGTTAGCATTATTGTCTCATATAAAGATAGAATGTAGCCCTATTTTTAAAACTTTGTCTTACAAAGAATGAATTAATGACCTATATTTGGCTTCTATTCTTTTGACTTGAGGTTGAAGATTTGATTGCACAAATCCGGGAAGTTTTTATTCAAACATTAGATGACCTCACTTGGATGGACGCAGAAACAAAAAAGAAAGCTGAAGAGAAGGTAAACAACAAGAAGGGTATCCAAAAAAAAATTTTTTTTTCTTTGTTTGGGTGATGCTGGGGATTAAACTCAGGGCCTCATACTTGCTATACAGGTGTTCTTACTACTTGAGCCACTCAGCCAGCCCTTTTTTGTGATGGGTTTTTTCAAGATAGGGTCTCACAAACTATTTGCCCAGGCTGGCTTCAAAACGCAGTCCTCCTAATCTCTACCTCCTGAGTAGCTAAGATTTACAGACTTGAACTATTAGCACCCAGTGAAAAATTTCTTTATAGGAAAAAATGAAAATAATTTTAAAATAATTTAAATAATCATTTAATAATTTAAATTAAAATAATTTTAAAATAATTTAGCAAAAACTATAATCAGATACATAAAAAACTGCAAGCTTCTTGAAGATGAAATGTTTTCAGGAGTAACTTTTAATGTCAGCAACCAATAATCAACCATCATCTTTAATTCAAAACTTTAAAAGTACTATCATTTTCCTTTCCTTTAAGGAAGACTTTGGAAAACAAGAGGAAATCCTATAAGAACAAATAGGATTTTATGAATTTAAGTATAATATATCATTGGTTTACATTCATATTCTCTTTCTATAAAACGTAATATAAAGGTACCTACCAGTGGCTCAAAACGCCCGTTAATTTGCAATGTAAAATTCCAGTTAAACTTTAAAAATATGCCCTATTTAGCTTTTGCATGGCCTGTGAGAAAAAAAAATTAAACTTCTGTTCAAATGTAAGATGGAGCATTATTTTTGTGTTATAAGATTTACAGTTAATAGGGTGATAAAGAAGGCTTTTTATAATTATTCCTATCTATCACTCATGTGTAGCTTTTCCTGGGATTTTCAGTATTATGTAAGAACAAATGTAAGATTCCTAAGGAAATCTTGGGCTTAAGTTTATTGCAATCATTTTATATAATCATGTGATCATATAAATAGTTGAAGGACCATGACTGGTGAAACTGTAAACGTGCTTTTAAGCAGCATTCCTGTAAAGCCTGACCATTCCCTGTTAGCGTGCGGAAAGAGCAGACCACTCTTTGGAGTCCCTAACAAACTGCTATAATAAGATAATCAGTCTTTGGTCTTTCTTTGTTTCAGAATTAAATTACATTCTCTTACAGCTCTCAACAGATCCTAGGTTAGGGTAAGCCTAGAATTTAGGCCTCCAGTGACTATCTTTCCATCGCTATCCAGTTCCTTCTGTGCTCAGGCTGGAATGGTCTTTTTGTGTCTTCACTGTCTTTGCCATGGTTTTATTTGATGAAGCCAATTGGATTGTTCTAGATCCACATTTTCAAACTGGTGTCACAAACCCTGGACTTTTAAGCTGCTCCATAAAAAGGGCCCAAGGTCAAAAGAATTTAGGAAGTGCTTCTTATAGGAAAGCCTCCTTCAATCCACACTAGCCTAGAATAGATGCATGTATTTAATTTCACTGCCTTCCATTGCTCTTTATAGTAAGTTCTATGGGAACAGAAAGTATCACCTAGTATAATGTCCTCAGTCTTTTGTTAAGTAGCCAGGGCACATGATGGATACTTAAGTATGTGTTCAATGAATAAGCCAATAAATTCATTCTTCTATTCTAACCTTAGAATCTAACCTGTTTTCAATTCCAAAGGATCATGCAACAAAGACAGCTACATAATGTTTTCATCACAGTATTTACCCAAGTATTTTTTTTTTTGTAGTGCCTTTTACTTTCTGTAGATTTTATGTCTCTGAGAATATTTAGGGAAAATATCTACTTAGAAATGAAACCACTGAGAAGGAGCTGATTTGTAATGAGTTGATAGTATGGAAACCAACGAGAAAATGGGCTTGGCCTAAGTGACACATTTGCTGCCTGGTCCCTGGGGAATTCTCAGCTTATGCAACAAACTTGTGCAAAGTCACATCCATTTGATGACAAGCCAAATAATTCAGAGTTACGGCCTCGTTCTCCATGAGAAGTTTAAATTAATTAGGTTATTTGAAAGTAATATGATTTGATAGAATCAAAGCTCAAACATCTGTGACAGAAACAAGAGAAATTTTAAAATAAAAATAGAACTAGCCAGTTGTAAATTAAGTAAAATACATAATCTGAAAATAATTCAAATAATAGTTAGAAATAATAATAAAAAGTAAAGATGGGCTGGGATAACAAGGAAAACTCCATTTTGCACTTGTTTAATTAACATCATTCATTTAACTTGAGAAGATAGGTACCCTGACTTTGAGAACAATATTGAACTCAGGGGTCCAATATTTGTGAAGAGTATCAGCACTAACCCATAAAGCCCTTATCTATTTTCTCAGCCAAATCAATGAAGTAGAAAGATAATTATAGTTTGTGAGAATGGAAGCTTTAAGTATTACCTTTCTATAAGATTAAAGAGAAAAATCAGAGAAAACAGTTAAAATAAAGATACATGTGGAACAATGACTTGTCAGTTTTCATTTTGGTTTTCTTGGGAAAGTTGCAACTTGTAAGAACAGGCCATTATAGGCTAAATTTCCAACCTGTTTTTTGTTTTTTAACTCAAGGAAGGAGTCATTGCAAAAAACTCTGGTTAAGTGTTGTCATATACTCTTTTTTTGTAAACAGTGTAGATCAACCTATTTAATTGCTAGTTGTAGATAAAGTATGTTTGAATCTGAAAGTTGCATAATCACTCTCACTTTCAATATTGTAATTTTCACAGGCCTTAGCAATTAAAGAAAGGATTGGCTATCCTGATGATATTATTTCAAATGATAACAAACTGAATAATGAATACCTTGAGGTAAGTCTCTGCAAAGACTCTGGCTAATGATACCCGGGGTGGATGACAACGTCATTTTTAGATAGGAGATGCTAGAAATTATGCAAAATAACCTCACATCATAGAGTATATTTTATAAAACCTTTAATATTGGTACTGGAACTGTGTTTGATTTGGCCTTTGTTTCATTAGCCTGGACTACAGGTTTGTGTTACTTTGGTTTCCATATATTTCATTTTAAGAATAGTAAGGAAAACCTGGTATCCTTTAAAGAACATCTGGGGTGGACATTAAGGTGCTGAATGACAGGTGGCCCTCAGGCTCTGGAAAAGTCAAAGCTTGAGGTTTCCTTTCTCTTTCTAATTACTCCCCCTTGGGGAGCCCTAGTCATACCTCCTCTACTTAAAAGAAAAAGAAAGTAAATGTAATATTTGAGAAGCTTTTACTTTACTCTACCCTGGTAGTATAGCAATGAAAAGAGAAGACAGTTGGTTAAACTCTTTACATACTGATATCCACCTCCACTGCTTGATACCCTGGTGACAACGGGCGAGCCTTCCCCAGGCCCAGAGATGACAATGAGTCCTAATCTGTTAATAGTCTGATGTGGAGGTGTGCAAGTCCAAGTGCTCTCTCCTCCCTTTTCATTTGTGGAAAGACTTGGCTTTCTCTTTTAAATGAGCTCTCCATAGCTTGCAAGTCTCAGGGGCCCTTGTGACTGGAATACATGGATAGACTCATAGCCAGACTCCTTGGGTTCAAATCCCAGCCCTGCTACTTATTTAAACTTGGACAAGTGACTGTATTGTCTGCACCTCAGTTTCTTCAACTTAAAAGTGCTGACCATGGCCTCTAGTTCATAGTATTATCATAAAGGTTAAATGAGTATTTTATATATATATATAGTATATATATTTATATTTTAATGTTCTTAGAGCAGTGCCAAGCACACAGTATGTACTAAATAACAATGTGCTATTATCTTGGTCTACTGTGTGGATCTTATTCTCAATATTGAGAGGCTAGTCTGACTCTTGGTTTCATTTGATTGACTACAAAAAATAGGCTGCAATTGTGACTCAGCTAGCATAGGATTGACCTGTACTGCAGAACAAGGCTAGTTGGAAATAAATCCTTCTTTTGTAAGTTTTTAGCGCTGTTTCTTAACTGTATTTAAAAAATACATTTTCTAGCAAAAACAGGTTTCTAGCTTAATAATTCTCCCCAAATCTTTTATATACTATTATAGTTGAACTACAAAGAAGATGAATACTTTGAGAACTTAATTCAAAATTTGAAATTCATCCAAAGTAAACAACTAAAGAAGCTCCGAGAAAAGGTGGACAAGAATGAGTACGTATGCGCCAGTGTGTGCACCTGACCTTAGCTGAGAGGCTGAGAAGCTGTGTCGGGGACTCAGTTTTCTAATGTGCCCGTTCATCAGAGGGCCTTTTCCTCTCAGCTCTGTGTCAGTCTCTTGGAAAAATGTTAAGAAGTACCATATCCTCTTTCCATTAAGAACCTCTCAGAACATCTACTTATTAATGATTAAAAATATGGGTCAGGACTTTAACCACATTTAAGGTTTTTTACATTAAGATGTCCTCAAACCCACCTCATTTCTTTGGTCATTCCTTATGTCATTGCCTGTCCCCTCTAAACTGTTTGTAGACAAGGTTCTTAAAATCACCTTAGCTTAAGTAGCCCACTGCTCCTTCAAGGCTGCTCTTAGGCCTCATTCTGAATCCAGGATGTTCTACCAAAAGCAGCCCCACTTGGCTCTGTCAGTCAAGCATCCCCCAGCTCCATCCTCTTCCTAGATTGCTTCCTGTAACACGCTCCTGAACCCTGCAGTAGCTGAATAGGAGATACCAGGAATCACTCTCATACATCAACTGCAAGTGCTCTTAACCACTATTTAATTGTTAGTGACACCAACACTCTATATATGAACTCTTACATTAGTGTTCATTTTTTTATTAAATGGGTTCATTAGTATGTTTACTGGCATAGGTGCTCTGTACTTAAATCCCTAGAGCTGCTTATGTTTACCTTTTTTCCCTGAGGCTCTTATCCCCTAAGAACCCGGGAAGACCATGAAGTCTCAGCACCCAGCACACAGAAAGCTCTCAGTGAAAACTGAATTAATGAAAGAGTGAGCAAGTGAAAACTGAATACACTAACTTGATTTGTATGTTAACTAACAAAAACATGCTAAAGAGATGCTTGGTTTATTTCTGCACTCACTTGTTCTTTCATTCATTTATTTGTTTTTTCATTCATTCGTTTCTCTGACTGCTCTTCTGGAGTACTGGTATCATTGGGCCCTAGGAGAATCCACGGTGAACAACAGCAGAAGGTAGACAAGACATGATGTAATAAACAAACCACAAGAGGAATGTGCTAAGAAAGGTACAAAATAGGGTGGACAAAATTATTGATGTCCATATATTTTAGTCCTTATGCAACTTTTTCATCCCTTGCAATGCTCAGGTGCCTGAGAGACTAACTCTTGCTGACTTCTATACATACGATTTGTGCTATGATCAAGTCACCAAATCCTGTCTAGAAACTCACATAAAATTATCATGAAGAATGCTGGGTAAATTTATCATCTGAGAAGTTCTTATATGTCTGAATATTTTTATTTCTTTAAAAATACATATACTTAGATTTAGTACTTAAAGCACTGTAAAGTGTCTGCAGATGCTGTTGAATAGTGTTTCTGAAATGGCTAAAATAGTCTGCACCTGTAAGAGAGAGAATTTTTTTCATAATTTTAAAAATAGTTTTTGAATTATTATGGCTTAGTATTTCTTTTGAGGCTGAGTTTTATAATCTTTTCTTTCCTTTTCTGGTAGTGGGGATTGAATCCAGGGCTTTGTGCTAGCTAGGCCAGCACTTTACCACTTGAGCTACACCCCCACTCCTTTTGATTTTTTTGTTTTGTTGCTCTAGTTGTTTGTTCATTTGTGAGTTAGGGCCTTATTAACTTTGCCAACCTGACCTCAAACTTGAAATCCTCCCGCCTTTGCCTCCCAAGTGACTGGGATTACAGAAGTGTGTATCATGTGTTGGTATTCTTTGGGTTCTTCTCTCTTTAAGATAGATACTGAAAAGCCAAAATGTATTAGTATTTTAATGAATGTTTTGTCAATGTCTTGCATAGTTCAGTACTTACTTTTTGAGTCCTTTCCCTAAACTTCTGATAATAACGGCTACAATACAACTGCTAAGGCCTTCTGTACCATACAGTGTTAGCTTTTCTTCTTTCTCTGTCCTCTGCCTCCTTCTGAATACAAAGGTTCAAAACTGAATGCACATTGGAATCGTCTGGGCAACAGTAAAAACAGCTGACTTCCCAGCTCTACCACTGTACAGTATAACATGCTTGCTGTGGTTGGTACCCAGGTACGGGAATTCTTTTTAAACACCATCCCTGAGTCAGAGAACCCCTGAATTAGTGCTGGTCGCTCATTGTATCGTTCTTGTTCATATATAATTTTGCGGGAGTTTTTACAAGATGATGCCTTTAACTTGACAATTTAGATTTGAAATTAATTTTTGTCTTCTAAAATAATCAGAAACACTCTGACAGTAATTTCATCAAGTGGTTTGAGCCCTATAGGATAGAACATAATGAAAGTTCCTCTTTTTTCATTGTAGGGTTTTTTTTTTTTTTTTTGGCAGTACTGGGATTTGAACTCAGGGCCTTTCCCTTATTAGGCAGGCACTGTTCTCACCTTTCTTGTAGCAAAGTTTCTGACTTATTTTGCACCTGTTTGATAGTAATCAAGTCACCATCCTGATTTCTTTCCTTTTCTTCATGTAGCCCCAAATTCAAGTCCTCACTGTGTATATTCAATGAGAAAGTACCAGACTGGAGGCATGGCTCAAGTGGTAGAGCATCTGCTTTGCAAGTGCAAAGCCCTGAATTCAACCCCAAGTCCCATCAAGGAAAAAAAAAAAAAACGCAAAGAGGAAATATCTATTGCTTCTACTTTGTTCAAATAGCTTGTAGTTACATCTCAGAGAATCATATTTTAAATTATATTTTAAATACTCAACAGCCTCACTTCCAAGGTCTTACATACCCAAAACTGAGGGGACAGAGATGACGCTTGACTATTTTCAGGTCATATTGTAAGGTACTTTAGAGAAGTGATCATTAAATTTTTAAGGTACCAATTAATTTAAATACATTCAATAAACCAGACAGTCAACTTCTAGACATTTTCTTTTCCCACTCCACATGTCCTCAATGGGCAAACTCATTTGCTTCTTGAAATCTACCATTAATTTCATAGCTGAATATTTATGTCTGGCCCAGACCCTTTGGCTGAGCTCCAAACCCAAATGTCTAGCTGATTATGGAGCTTCTCCATGTAGGTGTCTCATTGACCCCACAAATAGCATTTTCCATTTAGGCAAAAATGATCTTTTCTTCTTACATCTGACCATTCTAAAGCAGCCATCTTACTGCTACCAAGGCAGAAACCATGAACACATCTTAGTCATCTCAGACTGACCTTGTTCATTTACGGTGCTATTGAATTCAAATCTCCATCCAGAGAAAAGGGTCTGTGTCTACCAGCTGCTAATTAAGTATTGAATAGGGATGGGGAGACACTGCCATCTCACCCCCCCATTATCACTTCCAGAATTAACAATTTCTCACTGTTTGCCAGAGTTATTTCAGTTGTTTGCTTTACTTTTATCACCAGTTATCTCACGTGTGCAGATTTTCCTCACACTACTGTACCTGAGAGGTTTCGAAAACATAGATTGAGCCATGTTATTTCCTGATGAAACTTTTCAGTGAATTCCTGTTGCTAGTTCATGAAATGTGAACTCTTTAGTCAGAGCTCCAAGCTCCCCACGCCTCCTGCCAGCTCTTCAGAATTCCTTCAGATTCACCTAAACCCTCACCACTGCCCAAAGCTCCAGCCATATGAGTTATTTCCACACCTTTCTTCTGTCCTTCCTCACTCTTTGTGTCTTGCCTTGAACCAGCCTTTCTGCTCTTGTTCATCTAACAGAAACCCTCACAGTTTACCTCAACTGAAGTCTTAGCTCTTTGCTCATTGTCTCCCTTTCAGGTTTCTTTTCACCTGTGCTTGCATTGTTCTTTGCACATCTCAGTCAAACCACCAGTAGATTTTATTATATTCTGTAGGATTAACCATTATTGAAAGAAAAATATCTTGTATTTATGTTTCCAGAGGTTGAACACTGGAATAGAATGTAGACCGTTCATACATGCTTATGGAGTGAACAAATCATAGATTGGCCAGCTTGTTATAATGCTGATAAAGTTAACTCAGCAGCTAAAATAAAAATGGTTGTTACATCTACATATACCACCATCATCTTGGTGAATTATTTCACTATCGTCTTTTTTGCTCTCAGTTTAACAATTTTTTTTTTTTTTAAATGGAGGAAGTCAGGATGTCTGCGTGTGCTTATCAAAGTTAATCATTTCACTGAAAGTCTTCCCTTTGCCCTTGTGGCAGCTCACACCTGCAAAGGACAGGGATGTAAGTTTTCAAAACTTATGTATGTTTCTGAAGTTTTCTCAACCTATGTCTTCTGTGGATTTGGTGCCAGCTGGTAAAGAATTTCAAACTCATCCTGTCAGATAGAAATAATGCTGAGTTGGTAATGTAATGTCAGTTGGCAAAGTTACTGAGTAATACATCTAAAATTATTTACTGCTAGTAACTGACTATTCACTTAGCATTTATAGAACAAAACAAACCTCTAAAGAAAAAAAAATGTTTGAAAACAAAACAAAAGGAATCCCTCGTTTTTAGATTTGACTTTGTTTTGTTAGTTTCTCAGGCAGAACTTTCTGTGATATAATCGTGGCCTGGAATGCCAGTGTTTGTGAATCCTGCTGTTGAGCCCTGGCATTACTTTCTATAAACTACAAAGATTTATTTCGTGGCTGCATCTCTCCTGCTGTTCTGCATGAAAATGAAAACACGCTGACATTGTCAGGGATCAAGGCTGTAAACATTCACTGAGCAGCTACCAAGTGCAGAGCCCTGTGCTAGACATAGTAGAGGGCAAGACATGAGTGAAGATGCTGACCTTCACTTAGCCTGCAGTCTCCTGAAAGACTAAACCTGGGGGAAGGCAGGGGTTGGTTAGCAAAAGCAGCGTGCTAGCACAGCACTTGTTTTAAAAACCGCAGTTAAACTTTTACTTATTAGTAAAACATTTTCTGGGAACCTATCACTGTTTAAATTAATAATGAGGTGAACAGAGGATTCACTAAAAACAAAACAAAATGGTTGACTCATTTGTCTTCTTGGTTGTTTTATGACCACTGTATTTTCTAATCTGGGTTT